TTTGTGGTTTGTCATATAAGCTGAAATGTGCGGATCATGCGGTGGCTAACAAATATAAGCCCAGGCACTATTAACAAACAGTCGGAATGAAAAGAGAAACGAAAGAATTCACTTCTATTGCATATACAGGTGACTGATTCCAATGCCATATGGCTTACTCCTTTGTAGTTTGTTTACAGCTGATTGATTGACGCTTTCAAAACTGCATGTTTACTCTTCAAAAATTCAGTGTTGATGTTTTTCTGACAAAACATGAATTTCATATAAGCAAACACACTCCCGGACAATTACAGGTCTTTTCATTTTTAACGTTTTGGTGTTGTACCTTTGGGGCAAAATATATTTTAAACAGTTTGAAGCCAAATTTGCCACTTATTAAAAACAGCTTCCAAGAAGTTTTTTTCAGTTCTGAATTTTTTCCCCATAAACTTTTGAAACAGGCCACACCATAAACCCACACAAAGAAAAGGGTAAAACACATAAATCAATCCATGTGATTGTGAAGAGAAAACTTAAAAAATAACTATTTTTTTCAAAATTTAGGTCTTGGCCTTCAAACATTCAAGAAATCCCCCCAGAAAAAAAATTATGCCTCACTTCATTTTGGTAAACCAATAAATAACTCCCAATTTACCAAATTGCAATAAATCTAATCCTGCTGTAGCCTAGGACAGCTTCTGGAAACACTTCAATAGAATTACTGACAAGGGCCTGGTGTTGATAAAAAAAAAAAAATTCCTGGGTCAGACAAGAAACTGGCTGCCATAAAAAGTTAACCTTGTAATGTGATGCTTTTCCCCCTGGTGGGCCCTGTGCCACAACATGGGCTGTTTTTGGTCTCTGCTTGGTGTCTCATGTTATTTTGATGGGGAGCACAGGGGGGACAGGTCATATGGGGCATTGGCATTCCCAGGGCCATCAAGGTTTTTTTTTTGCCCCTCAGAGAGCACCGTGTGCCACAAATCACTTGGAATTATGCCCTGCCTATCAAGTTAGATGTGGATAACATGTGTGGCTTTGGATAGCTTACTCAAGATAGGGTTACTTTATTGATTACTACTGGGCAAAAAAAAAAATTGGTTTGTTTGCTTCAAGTCTGTATAAAGTGACAGAAGTGTGCAGCATTGTAATTAGAATGGACAAAGGCAAGCGTTTTGTTTGGATTGTACTAAGTATTCAAATACAAAAGACTAACTTTAATCTTCTGGTAGATTGTAGCTTGTACAAAGAGGCACGTTTCTACAATATGCCAAGATTGGTTATTTTTGCAGCCTTACCGGCAATCAGTACCAGCTACCGTAGCTAAGAGACACTCTTGTGCTTGTAATAATGTACATGTGTACATTAGGCTTTTCCCAAATTGGCTATCCAACTTTTTGTTTTGGTCAAATTCTGCTAACCTTCCCCCTTGACTTTGTTTATCATATCACTGTCAGTGACCATGAATGAAACCAATGACTCAACACACAAGCTACACAGATTTACCTTTCAAGTTTCATTAAATCACAAATCTTTCCACAGCCGAACCCTGCCGCTGTAATTTAACACTGTAAAGTTACAGCGAACTAACAGTGTCTCTTTTTTTGCCCACTGTGCTTTCTGGAACTGCCTGTGTAGTGGTGTACATTTAGACTACTATTAGTTAGGGCAGTGGCAACCAAAAACGTTAATATTTGGTATAAATGCATTGAACATGCCAGAATGCTATTTCAGCACAGGTACTCTGAGCACAGGTACCCCCTCAACGGTTACAAAAGGAGAGTTGGGGGACACCATTTGGAGGGACATTCGAACGCATTACTGATGATGCCAGATGCTCACGCGAAGACTTGTGGGTTTGTGCAAATTCAGAATGAAATTAGCTGTACGCACTTTGCGCTATAAGTGTACAAACCAGTACGTGCACGCGGTGCGTCCCTCCCTCTTGAAAGTGGTCACGAAGCGCCACCTATCGTACATGCACAGAGTCCATTACTGACCCACAGTGATGTAGCAAAAAGATTCAATCCTGAAACTGGAAACTTTTGTCCAGTTGGGGGGGGGCTTCCTTTCAATGAAACAAACGCAGGAAATAACTGTTCAACCATAAAGCACAAACAGTTCATTGAGGGTGCAGACTCACACCACAGACCAAATTGTGAAACAAACTTTGCTTCCAAACTTTAGACAGTATGTTGTTTTTAAAGGGAATATACATCATTTGCTTTTGCTGTAATTTTCAGAAATGGATGGAATTGGGGGGTTGGAAATATATAGCAAATATAGTTACACTGACTTTTTTGAGGTTTTGGGTTCGAAAATGCTATAAAAACCAAGAAAAACGATCATTTTCCTGTAGTCTGGTTCCCTGACTCCATATAAGAAGAAACAGAGCAGTTTACATACATTGGGGAATTGTAAGTTCAGGAAACCAGTCTAGCTGGCTCGTACCCGTTCATAGGTTTGTAATCGATTGCAAACAAGTGCGATGGTCAATTGGGGCCAGTATTTGAAAAAAAGCCAGTTGTTTCCAACGCTGATCGGCCGATCAGCGTTGGAAATTGATACAAAAATACCACTTTTCTTGAAAATGACAGTATACCAGGTGCCATGATTTTACAGGATGCTTTACACTGTCATTCACTAACAGTCCAGCAAGGTATTTCAAAATGATTTGGTAGTTTTATATTTTGATGTTTGCAAATGTTGTATTTTCCCTTTAACCAAAACGAAAATGGTACCAAGCACTATAATACTAGGCTTAACTTAACAGTTGTGACTTTGATAACAGTGACCATGCAATGCCTAATGAATGCCCTTGAAGTTCAATCAACAAACCAACACTTAAGTTAAATTGAAGAAAATTGCCAAATCACAATCATAACAATGCCTATTGCCTTGTCCAAACAGCCACTCACAAAATGAAATTCTTTCCAAATTCCTTCAGTGCAAAATAAATTACAAAAAAACCTTGCACCTTGTTTGTGCAACCTCACTAGCGAAATCTATAAAATCTCAGAAATTGCAAAGTCAGTGTATGTTTGTTTTGACTGGAAGAAACAAACTGTTTTTTCCCCCCTCTAGTTAATCTTATGGATTCCTGTTGATAGATAGGCCAGCTAGTGCAGGGGAGAATATGATAATCATGCGCATATTGATGTTTTTTCCAAGGACAGGATTTGATTGGCCAAATGCAATCCCACTGCATTGGGTTGATGCCACCAATCGCAAGGATTGGCTGGTGTAGCCTAGGTCACTGCTGCACAGCCACGGAATTATAAAGCCTTGTTTCCCCGGGTCATGTTTTCCCGGAAACTGACTGAAGATCATTCACGTTCAGTTTTATCAAGGCCCCTTGGAATAACACTGAACAGGATGCCACAACCGGCACTTTGGGTTCAATGGCCAAGAGAACCAGTCATTATTTTGAGATGTGATAGCAATGTGGAATAAATTATGTGGTCTTTTGAAGTTCTTCGCTTCCATCATACATGGCTAATCCTGTAGTGTTGATGTACCCAACATGGCACGGCCCCTAACGTGGCGTACTTTGATTTTTCGCCTTTTTTACCTAGTTAGAGTAAAAGTTTTACCTGATTTTTCACATTAAGTGAAATTTCATAAAGCTCTAAACATTCCCATTCATAAATCGTGAGTTTATCTACCTACTGCAAAGTTAGCAGAGAAATTTATTTCGGCGTGATTTTCCAATTTATTGCGAAGTGCACAGTGAACCCTTTGAAACTGCGCCAAAAAAAAAGAGAAAATAATTTCCAGACAAACTTTTAGTTGGGCATGTAAGTAGAGATAATAATGGTTTATCAGAATTTATAAACTTTAGAAATTCTTAAATGCTAACATGGGATTTTCCGAGATTTATTTAAGTGCGCCACGTTAGGGAACACTCAACTGATTTTGTGCCCAATTTCCGGATGCCACCGTTTTTGAATTTCAAACTAAATTTCATGACACTGAAATTTTTTCACAAAGGTTAAACAGCAAGCATTATTAAGGTAAAAAATGCCAGTATTCAACTGAACGAATTTGAAGTGTCAACAAAGAAGTTTGGCAACACTGTAATGAGGAAAGTTGGGGGAAACGTTGAAGTGGCACGTAAGGAACAAAGTATGAAGTTTCATTTTTGCATATGTGCTTTAAGATCTGCCTACTCTTTTGAGACATGGACATTACACTGCCTATTCATTTGCAATTCACATTATGTTTCGAGGCCAGTAACTCTTTTTTTGGCAAGGTCCGGTTACATTTTAATTTGGAGAATGTCCTCGAGGCTGAATTCAATGCTTGGCCGTGTGTATTTCATTTCATAATGAGTTGAGCAAAAGGAAGCCTTCCTGTTGAGTCTGCAACAGCGGCCTCTTCAAGCCTTGTTGAAATTTGAAATCACTCTGAAAAATTTACACTTATGTTAAAAAATATTTAATCTATGAGGTTTTATTTGCGATTGAAATTTGACTTTGAACTCATTTGAACTTTCCCAACGAAAAGTACAAATTGTTATCTGCCTGTGTATCAGTAGGGTAAGTTACTGTGTATTTTGTTGGGTCCGTGATGGACATTTTTACAACATGTTTTCCATGGGAAAAATTCAAAAGAGCATGCTGATTAATATTACTACAAACATATCAACAAACACTGGATGAAAAACAAAAGGTTTAGTTTTTCTGCACAATGACCGATCGATGGTTTCAAAGTTGACAACAGATGATCAATCCAATCAAACAATACAGTCTCAAGTCAACTTGTTGGCTCTTTAAATGACATGTGATTAAACGTATTCATGTGTCATTACTCTTTCCCTGTAACTTTTGATTTGTCTTCTGACCGACTTGTGATTTGACTTGTGACGGGCTGGCACAGGTTCGACAAGTCTATTCAAATCAGGCGCACATCCTATGCCAAAGTTTTCAGAATAAGGGTTGGAGAACTAGCAGCTGATCAGTACTTACAAGTTACACAAGAAAGGACTTCAAACCTACGATAAAATCAGAATACGTATTTACCTTCACAGTTTTGCAATGGTCCCGCTAGTCTCTGATTCATTCTCCAGCCGTCGTCAACTCTGACCCGAGTTCTTCCAGGCGTGGTAGAACTCGGACGCGTTTTCCACTCGCAGGCCCCGCCCCTGAGCCATCTCCACGGCAGCCAGTGCTAGCGGGGACGTGGCCAGCTGGCCTGGCCGGTAGTCCGTCAGGATGGTAACCATGCCGTGGCCATCGCTGCCTTGGGGAGCAGATCGCTGACTGAAGAAGAGGGCGCACTCGATGATTTGATAGAGGGTTCTGGAATAAAGAGACCAATTTGTATGTCTTCGTTGTTGGGATACATTATTTTATGCAGTCTTGTAAGAGCCAGTTCACTCTTCACTACAAACGGGAAGCAAACTTGACGACACGGAACAATTGCAGTGAAATTAAGAAAGAAAAAAGAAAAAATTATTGAACTTTGCTCGACTTTTGCTTAGAAAAAGACTTGCATGACATCACAAATTCACGTTCACGTTCGTGTTCACAGCAATAATAAATCAAATTTAAGGCTTCAATTGAACTGACCATCCAATGGCTGATTGAATTTTTTTTTGCAAATTTGCATGTTATTTGCATCTAATCAATTATGATTGTTAGATTGCAATTGCAATTATATAAGTTTTTAAATAATAAAAAGTTCAAATGCAGTGACCATATCCCAAGCCTGCAAATGAAATACTTTCTCATGGCTGGCAGTTACACACATGTCTATGTTATAACAGGCCTTCGGACTGTACGTTCCATGACATGAACTGTACGTTCTGTAAGTACACGCACTCATGAATAAAACATGTGCAAACATGGCGGCCCGCATGGTGAACCCCAAATGGTGAGTCTCCGCAATCTTGTCAATTCTTATCAACCTTAAACCAGTAACCTAACATGGTGGCAGCAGTGGTTGATACAGTATAAAATAACCGTCATTTTGCATTCCACTTTTCGCATGAAAAAGTGACATTTACGCTACAACTTCGAACGAATTGTTGTGAGTTTCACGCACGCACGGGAACACGTAGACATCGCAATGACGCAGTCTACATCGTTGGGGGCGGTATCCAGCGCTCCGTTAATTGGCCGTCTCGACCAGTACGACCAAGTTGAAGACATTCGCAACTACATCGAGCGTCTTAACCTCTATTTTGTTGCAAATGACATCCCTGCGGCGAAACAATCGGCAGTTCTGTTGAGTGCAGTTGGTGCTACTGTCTACAAGACTGTAAAAAGCTTAGCTGAACCAACTCCAGTGTCTGCAAAGAGCTTCAAAGAACTCTGTGATATGCTTGTATCACACTACGGCCCAAAGCGTCTAGTTGTAGCAGAGCGTTTCCGATTTTACAAACGCGATCAACACATGGATGAGTCCATCGCTCAGTATGCTGTTGCACTACGCGATCTTGCCAGCCCCTGCCAGTTTGGGACATTTCTCGATGACGCCTTGCGTGATCGCCTGATCTGTGGCCTCCGAAGTGAGTATGTTCAGAAACATCTTCTGACTAAGGATAGCCTCACTTTCCAGAAAGCCCTGGATGTTGCAAAAACTCTAGAGACAGCCACCAAAGATCTCCGTGAAATTAAAGGAGCACACAATACGGCTGCTGTTCACGCGATGCACCCCAAACCTCGACAGAAGATGCCCTACAATCGATCGACCAAACCCAACACCCACCAGGCCAGGTGTCCCAATTGCGGATACGACCCAAGTCATGCTACATGCCCTGCTAGAGGCCAGAAGTGCAAGTCCTGTCACAAAACTGGACATTTTAGCCGGGTTTGCCGATCCAAACCTAAACACACGCGAGCTGTGATGGCACCGACTTCATCTGACGATGAGACTGAGTTCTTTGTAGGCTCCGTATCCAGTAAAAATGCCCCATCACACACTTCCTGGCGCCAGACCATCCTTGTTGAGAAAAAGCCCATCAACTTCTTGCTTGACACTGGGTCCGAGGTAAACATACTGCCACTTCATGTTTACCACACCCTGAAGCTCCACAACCCAACCCTGCAGTCTACGACTACAACCCGTCTGTGCGGTTTCTTCGGCGGAAAAGTCCAGCCAAGAGGACAGAAACGCCTATCATGTGAAGTCAAGGGCAAGTACCATATCCTGACTTTTCTTATCATTGGTGATGGTGAGCCAGTTCTGGGAAAACATGCCTGTGTTTCCCTTAACCTGGTGCAGCGTGTGTACACCATGATAAATGATGATGATGTTTATGAGGGAACCGGATGCCTAAAAGGCCCACCAGTCAAGATAAAGCTGACAGAAAACGCTACACCGCACTGTGTCCATGCCCCTCGTCGAATCCCACTGCCCTTGCACCCCCAACTCAAGGCAGAGCTAGACAAAATGGAGAAACAAGGAATCGTCACGCGCATCACAGAACCAACTGATTGGTGCGCCCCGATCGTGATCGCTCCAAAGAAAAATGGAAACATCAGAGTCTGTGTTGACCTACGAATGCTGAACAAAGCCGTGGCCAGGGAGCAGTTTAGCATACCTACCTTGGAAGAGGTCCTGGGTAAAATTGCCGGTGCCCAGTTATTTTCTGTCCTCGATGCCAAGCATGGGTTTTGGCAAATTCCGCTCCACCCTGACAGCCAGAAGTTAACCACATTCATCACACCATTTGGTAGATTCTGCTTCAATCGCCTGCCATTTGGCATCACATCGGCACCTGAGCTGTACCAGAGAATCATGAGTGATCTGCTGGTCAATCTACCGGGAGTTGTCGTCTACATGGATGATGTTCTTGTCACGGGTGCGACACCAGAGGAACATGACGCACGTCTCCGTCATGTACTGCAAATTCTACAAGGAGCTGGGCTGAAGCTTAATAAGGACAAGTGCAAAATTGCGCAAGAGCAGGTGCACTTCCTTGGCCATCGTCTCGATAAGCGTGGAATTCACCCTGATCCTGCTAAACTTGATGCAATCCTCCAGATGTCGCCGCCTACGACGAAGGAGGAAGTCAAACGACTGATGGGGATGGTGAATTGGCTATCTCGTTTCATACCCCATGCAGCTACAGTGGCAGCACCGATTAATGCTCTGATGAAAGGCGACACAGAGTGGACTTGGGGTCCAGCACAACGCAGTGCTTTCAGACACCTCAAGACACTGCTAACTACAGCCCCGACGCTTGCATACTATGACCCAACAAAGCCAACGATGGTCAGTGCTGATGCCAGCAGTTACGGCATTGGTGGATACATCCTTCAGAAGCAGGAAGATGAGTCCTGGAGACCAGTAGCATATTGTTCCCGAAGCCTGACACGTGCTGAACAACGATATGCACAGATCGAGAAGGAGCTACTGGCTGCTGTATGGTCATGTGAGCGTTTCTTCGTCTATCTCCGCGGTCTACGAGTGACGCTCCAGACAGACCACAAACCCCTAGTGTCCCTAATCAACAAAAAGGACTTATGTGATGCCCCTCTCCGATGCCAACGACTGCTGATGAGGCTGATGAGATACAACTGCGAAGCAGAGTACACCCCTGGTAAGGACCTGGTTGTGGCCGATGCACTTTCGCGAGCTCCTCTCCAGCAAGATAAAGTGGCCGAACCAGATGAAGATCTTGAAGGCGAGATCGAAGCACATGTCCACTTGATCACAACCCAGTGGCCAGCATCTGATGCAAAGCTGGTCGAAATAGCCTTAGAGACCAGTCACGACCGTACCCTGAGTGCAGTCATCACTCACGTCAAAGATGGATGGCCTAAGTACCAGAAGGATGTCGACCCAGAGTTGAAACGGTTCTGGGATGACCAAGACAAGATCAGCCTAGTCGGTGGTATCCTCACATATGGTGACCGCATTGTGATTCCACAGAGCCTGAGACAACAAATGTTGCAGAGAATCCATGAGGGTCATCAAGGCGTCTCAAAAAGCCGACTTCGAGCCAATCAAGCCTTGTGGTGGCCTGGTATGAGCACTGACATAGCCCAGTATGTCCAGTCTTGCCCGCATTGCCAGGATATGCAACCATCGCAACGCGCCGAACCACTCATGTCCACACCACTCCCACAGAGACCATGGCAGCAAATTGCCTGCGACCTAGCCGAGGTGAAGGGGAAGATGTACCTTGTGCTGGTAGACTACTATTCCCGATGGATAGAGCTACATCACCTCCACTCGACAACAGCCAAATCTGTGATAAACTTTATCAAGGCAACATTTGCTAGATATGGTATTCCCGAAGTGGTGGTGACTGACAATGGTCCACAGTTTTTGGGTGAATTTGATCAATTCGCTCGTGAGTACAACTTCCAACACATCACCTCCAGTCCCTATTACCCACAGGCCAACGGACAAGCAGAGAAAGCTGTACACATTGCCAAGAGACTGTTAAGCCAAGACGATCCAGTCCGCGCCTTGATGCTGTACCGGTCCACTCCTCTGCCTAGCCTTGGCCAGAGTCCAGCCAGTCTCCTAATGGGAAGGGAGATTCGCACCACACTTCCAATCCTGCCTCGTAATCTGCAGCCTAAGAAGGTAGATCACAACAAGCTGAAGGCTACAGACAACATGAACAAACAGAAAAGCGGACAAACCTACAACAAGCGACACGGTGCAAGACAGCTGGATGATTTGATGCCTGGAGACAAGGTTAAGATCCGAACCAAAGGACAGCTGAGCCCAGAAGGTGAAGTTGTACGTCAGGCTGGGACTCCACGGTCCTACATCATCAACATCAACGGCACTGAGTACCGTCGAAACAGACGTCATATCTTTCTTCTTCCCAAACCATCCCTGGATCCAGTTCTTGACATCCAAACATCATGCAAGGAGACCAAGGATCCTCAACCAGCTGAATCTCGACCCACTCGAGTTACCCGTCCACCAGTTTGGCACAAGGACTACATTGTGTCTCAAAACTAGACCAGTCACACACTTAATCAAAAGAGAACAAACTAGCATTTAGATAAGCACCAAATGAATCAGAATCAACACTGAGACGCGAAATTACAGTAATCAACTTTTATTGGACATAGAACTGTAACGTGTTAGATCTGCAAGAAACCTCATCTCATCTGAACATTAAGCTGAACACTAGCAACTTTATTTTAGTCACAGAGACTCTCAAATCTCTCAACTCAAGGATTTGAACTTTTCAATGGATTCCAGTTCTTGGAATTTATATTCACATTGTTGTTTATTAACCAGTTTGTTTCTTTTAGAAAAAAAGGGGAGATGTTATAACAGGCCTTCGGACTGTACGTTCCATGACATGAACTGTACGTTCTGTAAGTACACGCACTCATGAATAAAACATGTGCAAACATGGCGGCCCGCATGGTGAACCCCAAATGGTGAGTCTCCGCAATCTTGTCAATTCTTATCAACCTTAAACCAGTAACCTAACAGTCTACGGGAAGTAGATTTTGCTGCTCGGGCTGTCCATTTTCTCATAATTCAGTATTCAATTACTCGAAACTGCGTTTTATCAAATATCAGAAACTCTCTGATCAAGTTTTACACGTTCCAGCTGCAACCGCATGCCGCGTTTGTTAAAAGTGGCACGCAAGCACGCCGACGTTTGATATGTACTGCTGGAGTTGTAGTTTTTAGTTTTCGAATATTCAAACTGGCAAAAGGGTCATTCTATAAATTTGGGGTCCACTTTTTTTCCCGTCCCTGTTACATCTGACATCTATGATTGTATAATTCTGATGCACTCCTTAATGCAGTCATCCTCCAAGAGTGATTATGAATAGCAAACTACCTACCCAACAAATAAACAATCATTTGAAGTCACTTTTAATGATGTTTGAATGGCAAATTACAAAGTACCAAGGTAACAGGGACGGGAAAAATGTCACACTTTGGACCCCAAATTTATAGAATGACCCAAAAACCTATTTGAATATTCAGATAATGAACGAATATTTGAATATTCAGTTATTTGGGACAGCCCTATTGGCTGCTTCCATAGGCCCATGTGTTATTGCTGGCCAGAACGAAGTAATTGGAATGCAGACTTTAGCTTGGGACTTACTTAATAGACTTGTCCTTGTCCTTTGCTTTCTTCTCCTTGTCAAGTGGGAGGACCTCGTGTTGGCGTTGGACACGAATATGCCTTGAGATGTGAAATATTTCAAATCATTTCATTAGAAAAAGAAAATTACCTCCTTATTCTTGAAGAACCTGTTGGATAATTCATCTCTAATTATTTCTTGAGAATTTTGCTGCATACAGCCAACAAGGATGTGTTACATGGGCCCTGACGGACTTGCAGGAAATTTGAGGAAATTCAAGACAAGAATATGGTGGGATTTTAAATTTTAAAAAATGCAGGAAATTTGTTACTGCAGGTCATTGACTGGGGTAGTTTCTGCACAATATGTGGACCTATATGAACGTGTATTTGGATTTTAAAAAATTCATCCTGCACTGTCAACCTTCAATGATCATGATTACATTCAACACGACCATGCCTTGCCCCCGACATGATGGTTTACTTTTGGGACATAACATTCACATCTAAATAATATAATACATCTAAAGTGGATGAGGAACTGGTGGTAAGAGGAGGGTATCCATTTCAAGTAAATATCTTATCGTACCGAGGATAATCAATATACTCGACTGACCTGTTTCCCTTTTTCAAGATCTGTTCCAAGAACCGACTGGCTTCTCGGGCCTCAAAGTGCTTCTTCTTAAAGTGGTCCAAGTGACCGACAACTGCAACGATAAAGCAAACTCCTGTGAAACCCTTCAAATCACACCAATGTTAATAAAAGTGTTGTAGTTTGAGTTCATTACAAGTCCTCATAATTCCTCCCAAGTTCATCACAAGTCTCAAGTCACAAGCTACTCAAATGAACTGTGGCAAAAGCATTCCTTTGTTGTTGTGCATCCTCTGGTACTTTTGACTAGACTTGTGAAACGACCAGTTTTGTAGTGGAGGCACTTGAGTCGACACCGAGTGTTGCAACTGGAGACGAACTCCCGTCAGAGTCTTGGACTCAAGTCCTACAACAATGGAAAGGATTTGAGATTTACTATTGACCGGACTTGTGATGGTTTTGACTACAACGCTGCCATCAATTCATGCTTAATATAAAATAAAGAAAAATTACAGAATTCCTGACAGAGCAAAAGGAAACTAGAGATGACATCATCTACAAAAGAGAACAGTAAAATGACATCATCCTGATGGTGTAAGTCACAGCGAGGATCCCTGGTGGGTTTCTGACTATAGGAGACTGGGGGGGGGGGGGGGGGGGGGGGGGGGGGGGGGGAGGGGGTTGACTCATCATACACCCGTCACATGGGGCCTGGGCTCAAATTCATCTCTGTCATCAGCATCTGCAGGACAATGCATACATCTGGACTCTCTCCTGATGACATTTCAAGGCCACATTGAACAACAGTTTTCTGAAGTGTATAAAATCTTGCCACTTTTTGAGGTCAATTTACACGCTGTATAATGAAATCACTTCTCTTGCAAATTCATTAATTGAATTTAACATTAAAGTGATTTCATTACAGCGCCTGCAAGTTGACCAAAAAACCAACGAGATTTTATGGGAATATATGACTTTTGGGCACATCGTACAGGCACTGCAATGTATGCGACATCCTGTTTTGGGGATTTATTTTGTTTCCTGACTGGGACCATTCCATCAAGGGCTGGGGGCCTGGTCGCCGATAATGGCCCCAGCCGAAGGCGAGGGCCAATATCCGGACCAGGCCCCTAGCACGATAAAAACTCCTGAGTTACAGGCCCCTATTACTGCAGGATGTGGAGCAGAACGCAGGAATTATCAGTGGCTTAAAACCACCCATATGACGGGCTCTTGACCAGTATGGATGGGTAAAATGTCTCAGATATTTATGAACAGTGATTATAGCATTCTCTGGTACTTGCACTGGGTGAGAGCTTTCAAATCGGAACGCTCGGGTGTCTTACCCTGCATGTAACTCTAGAAATTTTCGAAGCAGCCCGAGTCACATTTGCTGGGTCTGATCTGCCATCCCTTCCCCAATCCTTTACTTTTAGCTTGATGTTTCAATAATTTGTCATATTCCCACATGCATACAACCCTATTACATCATTTCACCAGGAACATTTCAGGGTGGAAGACTGTGTCAGCTTCTAGTGGCGTAGGATTATCAGCTCTTTGATCATTTTCACACCATCACATAGCCACATGGGATGGATATACACTTGAGGAGTTGAGGGTGGTGGGGGGAGGGGGAGTTGGTTCACTGCACTATGTCACTCAATCATTCCTGTCAACTCTCAAACCATGTCTCAGGACATGCATCAGTCAGGTCTCACAGTAACATGGAAATGTCAAGTCCCAAGTCAAGTTTCAATCACACATGTTTGAAGCTTTTAAGTTTGTTTTGGGGCTCGTAAAAAATAAAGTGCTATGAACCATCGTCTATGGACTCTGGCACAAGTACCCCTCAATCATGACAAAACAGATACATGACTGTCATAGGATTTGTTTACATTCATATGAAAATTGTTATGTTATCAATGTCATTCTCTGAGTCAATTGTGTGTGGACATGTGAACAATCAGGGGCAGATCTAGCTTTCAGGAAATGGGGGGGGGGGGGGGTGATATAAGAGGGTGTTGGGTGTACCGGTGGCACACCCTGCTAGAGGGGGGGGGGGGTCCAGGGGCATATATCGGTAGGTACATTTCTGGGTAATTGCAAATGTTCCTAGTGCCTTTAACTGTACGAGAACAAAGGATTGTCAACAGAAGGTTCAGAAAACAAGACTCTGCGCTCTGGCAGTGCGACCCAACACAGTGGAGTTCTTGTCAGTAGTCACATAGTGCCCTATACATTTTCCACGCAATTTTTGCTTTAAGTTTCCATGTTTTAGAGTTAATTGCTACATTCCTCAGTGCCTCTGGTGACTTTACCTGCATAAGGAATGACAACGATGAAGCGTTCACTGTCTGCCAGGAGCTGTATCAGCCCGAGGTGGTTCATGAGCGCATTGGCGTCAGGCACCAGGTAAGGGGAGAACTGGGTGTTGGCTGCGCTGTCCTCAACTTGCCCCTCCAACTGCTGAATCTCATGCTGAACAAAATTGAAATAAAAAGAGTGAGAGATAACACTGAAGATTGGAATAGTGGTTCCTCCACCTCTATGGCCAGGGTTCGAATCCCTACCAGGTCGCGAATTTTTTTCTCCCAAACGACATCCACATATGGGTGTAGGCTATGGCGTTTTGGACTTAACTTTTATAAAAACATGAGGAGAAAATATAAAATTAGGGGAAAAAAAGTGAATTTGAACGTTATGAAATTCGGATTTATTTCCCTTTTAAAAAAAAATCCTCCAAAGCCTCAGGTTAGAAAAGGAAAAAAATTCGGGTGCAAAACCGAGATTCGAACCCACAACCTCGCGGTGCAAAACCCTACCCTCTATCGACTGAGTTGTCGCACTGCTTGCCAAAACGTGGGGAATCAAATAATTATATACCTGCGTGCGTATCAAAAAAGGGTCGTAGAGGGCGCTAGACAACCATGTATGCGGATGTCGTTTGGGAAAAGAAAATTTGCTACCAGGTCCATCCGTGGATTGGTTTTTCATTCCCTGTCTGATTCCATACGCTTCCCCAAGATTTTTGTCTGGGGTCGTCCTCCTATTTCTAAAAATGAGCAATTCGTCATTGTCTTCTCTCCATAGATTACATCGTCTTTATTTAATGATTTTAGAGTTGCAGAGTTAAAGGGCAAAAGCAATTCGATTTGCTTTGCAAAGAAAAACAGCCAATGTTTTTTGACATACGAGGCTGCTGGTCGCCTGCTTTGCAATCGCTCATTCGTACCATCATCCATGACCATTAACAACTTGTGCCCTGGCCTGCACTGCGTTTGGGGAAGTATTTTATTGTTAGGCAAATTAGGACCGAGTTATGGGGACTTTCTGCTGTCGCCACAGCGTTTTCGGTCCCCACAAATACCTCGTACAGACGATGGTATGTCCCCACAACTATGGAACAAGACCGTGTGAACACACACTTATACACACCCTTTGCTCTTTATAGTATAGTGGTGATAATGCTTTAGTCCGGTTCTCTGCATATTTGTTCATGATCGAAAAGTAAATTTCCTGATATTTAATTGCTGCTAAACATTAGCAGCTCCATCAAATTTTGGCTCCGTGTTCAACGCAAACAAATTAAAAATATCACTACGCAGTGTTATGCGCTAAGCGAAATTCAGCTGAAAATCAGTCACAAGCATTATAAATTGCATGAGTACTTTTGCCTGTTAACTTGTTTTACGCTAAGCAGACAGTTTCTATGCTAAGCACCCAATCTCACCTCCAGCCATCTGACAGCCAGATCCTTCATCATCTGGGTGCGTCGTTCTTCCTTCTCAGCCTGAGGGACAAGAAATCATACCGTCAAGATGATCAGTGATATGGACAGGGAACAGGGGTAGCAGGAAACATAAAACAGCTTGTGAAGGAGTAGGGACGGTTTTACAGTGGACCCTTCCTACCTGACAATCAAACAGTGCCCACTGTCCAATCAGATCAGGACGTTTGGTCAGGTGACCAATGTAGCTCAGTCAAACTCTGTTACAAGCGCCGTGAGAAATGTGCACAAATCAAAGGTGGGCGGTGCTCATGGCTAAATCCATGATGGTTTGTTCTTTCATTATGGCAAGCCTGTACTAAACTGGAAACAGGGGGCTTTAAAGCTATAGTCCATCATTTGCAGCCATCCGAAAAGTAACTGGCGTAATTATTGTTGAAAAACATACTTGGTTGAAAGATAGTAAGTGGACTAAACTCCCTGTGAAATTATTCTTTCTGACAAGCTGTCATTTTGAAGTAATCAACGAAAGAAGACCTTTCCAACGGTGCGTCTTAAGAAATTTAAATTAGTAGTTCATTTTGTTATTCGGCGAAGCGCGCGCAAGCATTGGCATGACGCACACGCGCGCGCGGTTGCTATAATTCGTCGGATCAGTACCTATAGCTGCAATTCAAACCAATTCAAAACATGATTCAGCAACTTTTGATTTGACATTGAGATCCTAAAATGCTGTTTTTCTCGGAATATACAGCTGAAGCTGAGCTGAAACTTCATCAAGTTAGTTGTTCAGTATCCTTCATTAGATTTTGAACACTTTTGTTGCTTCAAACGAACAAAATGCACAAATTACAAATGATGGACTATATCTTTAAAACAAAATTATGAATTTTGCACATCTCCTCCTTCCAACTTTTGGATCCCTGATAGACTCCATGCATAAGTACCCCCTCAACGGTTAAAAAGAGAGAGTTGGGAGGGACCACTGACATCACAAGGGGCGAGACACTTTCACACACTGGCACTGTAGGCCTACCGCTCGCATGAATAGGCTACTGGTTTGTGCACAAGATGGTGTACTTCATACCATACGCGCACGAACCTCTGGTATAGTGTGTGCACACGTATTGTGTCCCTCCCAAAAAGCACAATCTCCTGTTCACGCATGGAGTCTACAGAAAAGGGCAGACAAATTCAACTTTATTGACCTCATGATCAAGTCCAATAATCACAGAAATTGGAAACTGTTTAAAACTGTAAAAGGCCCCAAAAATATCCTCCGAAACTCCACTACTTGAGCAATGCAAGAAAAATTTGCTCAGGTGCCAACGTCAGTATTTGAAAGTACTAAAAAAAAAAATTTAAAAAAATTCATAAAACAATTTGAGCAATGGTCCGAGTTATTTCCTTTGAAATTACTGTGAGACGATGATCACTACTAATATCACAAGTAATTTTCTAAATGAACCCCCCCCCCCAAAAAAAAAGACAGCTGTGAATTGCACTATATAAAGGTCAGATCTGATCTTTGACTAACGAAGACTGAGGACCTGCCGCATGCAATTAAATAGACAGGTGTCAGCGGGCCTGTTACTAATGCAGACATCGTTAGGGTCTGTCAATGCTAAGGCTGTATATCAGTGGCGGATCTAGGATTTTCCAGAGGGGCGGGCCTTGGGTGCAGATGTCCATGCTTTTTCGGGGGGGGGGGGGGATTAGGTGTTGCAGTCAATGCATAAATAGACCAAAGACCTGAAGAATAAATCAAGGTTTGCTACATTGAGTGATGACATTAAAACCTCCTGCTATCTCCTATTAGTCACCAACAGTTGGATCGTGTTTCAAGCAAGCACTGTGACTAGTCAAATTCAGTCAACAAACAACAGTTAAGTGGTAGGCACTTGGCTTATCAATCACCTACAGTCAAAGCATAGCTGCATCAAGTTACATAAACAGCCACAGCCAGTCAATCCTGCTTTATGTAGGCTGGGAGCTCTAAACTGTTGAAAAACAGATTGATTTTGACAGAAAGGACAACTTGGCAAAGAAAGTATGTTTGCATAGGAGGGTTTTATGGAAATTCGTAATATTTTCATTTTTTTATAATTCACATAGGACCATTTTAAAAACTATTTTGTATAATATTCTCAATACGATGTTCATGTATGTGTGAACTTTATTTCCATCTTTCATTCTGATTGTAACATGAAAAGGTTGCAGATTGTGGATTCGGTTACCATTGCCTCTATAAAATCGATACACTGTACATTTGTGATCTTGGCACCAAATTGACTTCATGTGTAGTGTGATGATTATACTCGGTAGCCAGTTTTGAAACCGCACCAACAGCGTGTCTGAGAATGTAATTCGCAGAGGATGTGCAATGGTGTGAAATTGACAACTGTCTGTTGCAGAGTGCCCCTATCTCTCACCACTACACAATCACATATCGGTCCAAGGTCAGAGAAATATGACTAAAAAAATATCATCACAAATAACTAACCACAAATATCAAACCGCAGAGACATAAAAAAAAAAACTCTAAAAGTCGGTTTATCTGTCGTTAATATAAGAAGCTGTCCTATACAAAGGCAAACACTCTGAGTGGATTGGAGCTGTCCGCTGTTTAACCGGCCCCTTGATTAATTTGCTTTTTATCAGATCCGACCAGGGCCGGTCCCGAGTTAATATCAGCCGATAACCATCGGAGAATATTTCTATCAATACTTGGCAAGGCTCTCTCATGTTTGCGCTCTCAGAGTTTCTGCCCTTTGAGCCTGGGCTCTGTGTGCGTGTGTGTGTTTTGCGGGGCGGTTATGGCGTGCTAGTATCACCAAACATCAAATTTGTAGAGGAGTCCTTATTTTTTTGGTGTCTTATTAGTATAATTCTGTTGTTGTTAAGAAGGGCTCAGGTTCTTGTTGACCAAGTTGTTCAGTCAGAAATAGTGCATGTGGTCATGCTAGATTCTATAGTAGTGTAAAGGAAGTGGTGTTTTGGGGGTTTGAAAATAAGAAAACCCTTAAACCCCCCCCCCCCAAAAAAAAAACAAGGCAAAGTGAAAGAAAAGGAAAAACAGACAACAAATTACCTATAAGTTGTAAATTTCCTGTAAGAAATCTTACATATATTGTACGTGTTTGTATTTTAAACCCAAGATGTTCGAACCATTTAGTATTGAGTTTAAGTCACCTGAGAAGACAGTTACTCTAAAGCATCAGCATCCTTCTTGTTTTAGGCTTCCTCATTAATGCAGGGGGCTCATCATACCAAATTGACTGGAGCTGGATTGGAACCTGCAACTGCTAGAGTACTGTACCAGCTTTCAACCAACTGAGCTTACTAGGCCTAAGTTGGCAGTTTCGAAATTAGGGCCTTTCTAAACTATCTTCTTGCCTACCCATGTTGAAATCAACATGGATCCACCGTGAGCTGAACCGGGTCCCATCAAATATGGGTAGGCAAGGTACACCGCTCACACTAACACCGGTTAGTTTATGGGTTGGCTGTTGATTTTGGATTTTCTACCCGGGTAGAGAATCTCAACCCTGGTCTTGGACCTGACCAGGATTGGATTTCACCTGTGTACACACTGGATCGGTTTACAAGCCGTGTTGGATTCCTGCTAGTGTGAAAGGAGTTCCTGAAATCTACGTGTTGGACCCGGGTCCCAGACAGAGATTTTGGATAGTGTTAAAGGCCCTACATAGTCTGTGTTATTAAAGGTATATATTCACCATTTGCAAACATCAAGAAACAAAACTACCCAAATGATTATGAAATACCTTATAATTGTCACAAACATCCTATGAAATCATGGCAACTGGTGTGCTATCATTTTCAAGAAATGTGGATTTTTAAAAATAAATTTCCAACAATGGTTGGCCGACCATCGTTGGAAAAAAACTGACTTTTTTCCAAATACTGCCCCCAATTTACCATTCTACCGGTAGTTAGTCCGCATTTTGTTTGCAGTCGGCTACACATCAGTGAACGGGTGAGTGCAAGCCAGCTACTCTGGTTCTCTGACGTGACAAATCCCCTGACGTCACTAATTTGCTCCGTTTCATCTGAAGTAGGGTCAGGGAACCAGACCACAAGAAAACATTTTTTTCATGTTTTTTTTTCTTTTCCAGCGTCTATGGACACAAAACTTTAAACAGGTCAGTGTAACAATATTTGCTATAAAATGCTAACTCCTAAATCCATCCATTTCTGAAATGACAGCAAAAGCAAATGTTGTATATTAATACCTTTAACCCACACGTGCAAATTGTGCATTGTGGTGGGGGAGGGCATCCAAAGACATAATTTCAGTAATGCTATATCAACAAAATCTTGGAAATTGCACTCGGGGATCGCCCAGAGAGGACATGGCTTTTTATGATTTCCACATTTTTATTTATTCCAAAATCTTGGATGTTAGTAAAGAAACATGACACTGGAGGGCAAAGTCCACAGTACCCAGGACAGCAAAATAAAAATAAAATATGGATTACACGATTCATACATTAAATATTATACATTCTTTCATGTGACAATTGGGCTATCTTGATGAGCGCAACAATACCTCCTCATAGGCTCGCTACACAACACGCCAGAGCAAATAAACAGCCACCCAGAATATCAATTTAACTGATGGCTTATCGATATGAGTGGCATCGGAATGCGGAATGGTAAACAAGATTAATATGGCATAATGGGGCCCTATTTTTAATCCTCCGAGGGGAAAAATTGTGTCAACATCATAAAAACCCCTCTCCACTCTGAATTACATGGGGCTGGTTTTTTTAATTTTGTTGTTTTGTTTCTTTAAAAGTTCGCACGGGACCTCCTGCTAAGGCTGGGGTCCTGTTGAACTCAATAAATATGTCAGTTTTGTATCGATTTAATCTCAATAGAAATAAGTTATTATGTTTTTATGATATGTCATGTTGGGTTCCAGCTATACGTGTATAATGGTCGCCCTTGGCCTAAGGGTGCTTCCCAGTTGTGAATTTCTTTTAACTGTACAAATTTCTTTTCAGACATTACTGTCCCTCTTCCAAGAAACTTTCTTGCAA